ACTTCTCAGGATTAGCCATTCTTCAGCTTCCTTTCATGCCTTAGAAGTCACATTTATGGGTATTAATGAGGCACCCTGAGAAAGGGAAGATGAGATTGTACTGAAGAAATGTCATTTCCATTACAGTGATGCAACACATACTTATCCAAGCATAAGCAATCAATTCACCAAACTATGGTAGTGAATAATTTGTTATATTTCAGAACCTTACAAAATTCCCTAACCAAAGAGTAATTCTTAATGCAATATAATTTGGCAAATGGCTTTGCAGCTAAGAAATAACTTAAGCAAATTTCTTAGCACAGTTTTGAAAGAAATTTTCAGTACAACTATTTATATATGTGCATAATAACATAATTGTTCTTCCTATCAATTTATTTTGGGATATAATCCTTTAAGCGAGCAGAAGATATAAATAGCTAATTTTCTACAGAAGTGATTTTTTTAAAAAAAGATAATGGGTATATAGAAATTTTAGATTGTTGCTCAAGGTCATAAGTGCAAGTAAAGAGAAATTTTTATCAAATTGATAGCAAAATGATTTAAATCAGTGATAGATGCCATAAGAAAGTGGCATTCATAATCTTCAAAAAATTAAATGAAAATATAATTCCATCATTTTATCCTTCTCCTCCCTCTTGCCTCTCCAACCCCCACCAGGTTCATGGCCTCTTTTTTTTTCTTTATTTTACATACCATCCACAGTTTCTTCTCCATTCTCTCCTCCTGATCTGTTCCCTCCCTCACCTCCCTTCTACCAACCCATCCATTCCTTCTCCTTCTCAATTCATAAAGGGTGAGGTCTCCCTTGGGAATCCACAAAGCATGGCCACATCAAGTTGCAGCAGGACTAAGCTCCTCCCTCCTACATCAAGGCTGAACAAGGCATCCCACCATAGGGAATAGGTTCCAAAGAGCCAGCTCATCAGGGATAGGTCCTGGTCCCACTGCTAGGGGCCCCTCAAATAGACCAAGCTACACAACTGTCACCCAGATGAAGATGGCCTAGGTCGGTCCCATGCCACCTTTCTAGCTGTCCGTTCAGAGTCTGTGAGCTCCTGGAACAAGCTCAGGTCAGCTGACTTTGTGGGTTTCCCTATCATGATCTTGATGTCATGGTCATTGGGCTTCATAGGCACCACAGGCAGGTAGGACTAATGAATGCTTTTTTTCCTTCAAGTTTGCATGTCACCTTCCAATGGTGTGAAAGGTAGTCCTCGGGGAGGAAGTTTTGGGGTCAATTCCAGCTTAAATCCTCCGAGTCCTATGTAGAAAATGTACAGTGTCCTTAGCAATGGGGACTTAGCTTCAACTTCTGGGAGGAGAGATGTCAATAGCCTTTACTATTTTGGGAGTCTCATGGACTCCCCTGACTGGCAGCTTGAAAGCAGTTTTGTTAATGCCTGGCACTGGGATTTGGATAGTTTATGCCTCATGGAGGGAGTACTTCAATACTGTCCTGGTTGCTGTAGCATTGGATTATGTTAGGTAGTTTAATGATTTCAGATTTATTTATTTTTCTCATAATTTTTCTTTTTGGATTTGGGAACATTGTGGTTCTGTCCAAATTTTAGAATCATTTTCATCTATAAATGTGTCATGGTATTTTGATACAAATTATATTTCACTTGTAGATTGCTTTTGGTAGGATGAGTGTTTTAGGAATATCAAGCCTTGCGGTGTCAAACATGGGGCATCTTTCCAGCTATTCGTGTTTCCGTTCCTGTATTTCAGTAATGTTTCATAGTTTCAGTGCTCACGCCTTTTGGCTTATGTTTGCTCCAATGTACTCTGTTCCTCTTTGGATATTTTATTCTATTCCGTCTGGTTGTGGATAGGATTGTCCTGTCGATTTCTTTATACCACCATTCACTGTAAATGCATAGAAATGCAAGTGGTTTTAAAAAATGCTTACTATGTATTCTGCACATCCACTGAGCATTAAAATGAGTTTTATACGTATTTTTTATTGTGTGGAAGTTTTAAGTTTATCCAGGATAAATGTGAACAGGAATAATTTGGTTTCTTTCTTTCCAACTTGGATGCCTTTTTAATTTTTTCCCTTTCTCTTTTCCTCTTTCTTTTTTTCTTCTTTTCTTTCTTCCTTCTTGTTTTCCGGATTTCTTTCTTTCTTAATTTCTTCCTTCCTTCCTTCCTTCCTTCCTTCCTTCCTCCCTCCCTTCCTCCCTCCCTCCCTTCCTTCCTTCCTTTTTGGTTTTTAGAGACAGGGTTTCTCTGTGTATCCCTGACCATCCTGGAACTTGCTCTACAGACTAGGTTATCATGTTTGAGTTCCTGTCCTGACTTCTTTCAGTGATGAACAATGATATGAAAGTATAAGCCACACAAATCCTTTTTTCCCCAAGTTGCTTTGGTCATGATGTTTCATCATAACAATAGTAACTACAACTAAGATATCAGTGTTTTGTGGAAAACAAATTTCAACTATAGTCAGCAGAGAATTTTTTAACTATAGCTGAATTTTTGATTAAGTGTTCATCTGGCTTTGGTATCAAGATAATGCTGGCCTTGCTAAAGGAGTCTGGCGTTATTCTCTGTTTTTGAATTTTGGGGAAGGAGTTGAAAATGATTAGCATTGATTTGTTTTTAAAACCCTAATAGGATTTGTCTGAGAAACGACACTGGAGTGTCTGAATTGACTCTTTAGAACTAATTGTATTTCTTTGCATATATACCTGATTGTGAAATTACTGGATCATTTAATTTCTGTAGGGATTTTTAAGATGGTTTTCTATAATGTATATGTCGAAAGTGCATACTCATTAACAGCATGCAAAGGCTCCCCTTAATCTTATCCTTGTCACTGTTTATATTTTATAGTTTTGATGACAGTCATTCTGACTGGAGGGAGGTGATATCTCATTGTAATTTTAATTTGCGTTTTCTTGATTAATGATGTTGTATATTTTCTGATGTACTTGGTGCTATATTTATGCCATCTTTTATAAAATGTCTCTTTGGATCATTTGCCCAATTAAAATCAAGTTATTACTTTTCTTGCTAGTGATGTTGAGATCTTTATGTATTTTGGTTATAAAACTCTTTAAAAATTATTTTGTGATTATTATGACTTATTGTGCATATGTATAATGCAGTCATGCACATAGAGGACAACTTCATGAGTCATCTCTCTCCTGCTACCTTGTAGAATCTGGAGCTTGGACTCAGATCATCAGTCCTGTGCCCAAGTGTTTGTAACCACTGAGCCATCTCTCTCACCCTTAAACTCTTATTAGCTCTGTAGTTTTTAAAATTCAGTTTACATACCAATCACAGGTCCCTCTCTCATCCCTCCTCCTGCTCCCCCCCTCACCCACCTCCCCCCTTATCCTCTCCTCCAACAGGATAAGTTCTCCCATGAGGGGAGAGCTAAGCCTGGTATATTCAGTTGAGGCAGAACCAAGCCCTCCCCACTTTATCAGGGGGGTAGCTCTGTAATTTACAACTGTTTCTTTTCCCTAGTGGGCTGGATCTTCGATTCTTTGATTGCTTTCATGTCTTGCAAAAAAGTTTTAGTTCAGTGTAATTCTGTTTGTCTACTTTGCATTTGCTGTGTAGCTTAGAGCTCATATGTTAAACATTTATGGTACAGACCTGCTGCCATGGTTCCTCCTCATGCTTTCTTCTAGTAATCTCATAGTTTGAGGTCTTTAGTGAAATATTTAACTAGTTTTGGGCTGACTTTTGCACATGGTGTGATAAGGGTTCAATTTCATTTGTGTCCATATATTGATACCCATGTGTTGTTTAGCTTGAGAATGATCAATTATTATTTTAGCTTTCTTCACCTTTTTCATGATTTTTCTTTTCACTCCTCTAACTGAGTAATTTCAAGTGAAGGGTTGTTTGAGTTCACTGATGCTTCTGCTGATCTCCTTCCTGCCTGTCTGCTGGTGAACCTTCTAGAGAATTTTTAACTCAAGGGTTCTGCTGAGCTAGAAGAACAGGAGCCAAGGAAGTTAAAATTTTACAAAATTTCTCCCCAACTAACATTCTCTCTCTCTCTCTCTCTCTCTCTCTCTCTCTCTCTCTCTCTCTCTCTCTCTCTCTCTGCATACATACGTGAGTAAATGTGTTGGGGGTGCAGAGATCATCATTTTTTTCCTATGACTTCTCATCTTATTTTTTGAGACAGGGTTTCTCACTGATTCTTCCATGAGGGCTGACCAATGAGTGTCAAGTAGCCTGTTTTCTCCATCCCTAAGTGCCAGGGTTACATATGTGGGCACCATGGTTTTTATGTGGATTTTGAGGGTTCAAATGAGTCTTCAAGCTTACACAGCAAGAACTTCACCACCTGAGTTGTCTGCCTAGTCCCAATGAATAGTCTTGAATAACTTTTCTTTGGATTTTTTGGACCTTTTGTTAATTTTTAAAAGTGTGGATTTTTTTTGGTGACAGCTTTTCATTGCTTTTAGAGAGGGGCAGACTTCCAGAGTTCCTTGTCTTACCATTTTCACCAACATCCTCATGCACTATATAGCCTGCAGTAGAGTAATAAATTTTAACCTATCATGAAGTATTACTGTGTAATAACAAATTACAGTATAGGTAAATATGAACTGGATAAAGTGTTAGTATGACCTTCATATATAATAAAACAAATTAGGTGGATTTTCCTAACAGAAATGACTGTTATTTTCATTTTGAGCTTTTTTTTATTTTAATGGCAGACAAGGTAATTCCTGACCACATTTTTATGCATACTTGGTGTTGCTTCTAATTCCCTGTCCTCCCTGCCCACTCCTCCCGCTCTTCAGTTCCTCCCCTTACAACACTCACTGTTGGCCCTTCCTACCCTCCAGGCACACACATTCTATCATTTTCTCCCCATTTCAATTTTTCATGATATTTTATTGATTATTTGTAAATTTCACATCATGATCCCTGAGCACACTCACTTGACAGTCCTCCCAGATCTGCTCCCTAACCCTGTGCCCCCCCCACCCCCCCAAAAAAAGAAGAAAAAGAGAAAAATACCAAGTCCAATTTATGTGGTCCTTATGTTCACTGGAGCATGATCAAACTCCTGGTGACCAGCCCCTTAAAGAGAACTCAGTCCTTCCCCACCCTCTTCCCTGACAGAAGACATCCCAGGCGGAAAGCAACACTTCAGTATCCTTACCACAATTTTTTTTTTTAGTAAATTTATTTTACAACATCATTCAGTTCAACATAATAGCCACAGATTCCCCTGTTCTCCCACTCTCGCCCCCTCCCCCTCCCCCCACCCCACCCCCCATTCCCACCTCCTCCAGATCAAGGTCTCCCCCGAGGACCGGGATCCACCTGGTAGACTCAGTCCTGCCAGGTCCAGTCCCCCCCTCCCAGACCGAGCCAAGCGTCCCTGCATAGGTCCCAGGATTCAAACAGCCAACTCATGCAACGAGCCCAGGACCCAGCACCAACACACAGCTGCCTCCCAAACAGATCAAGCCAAATGACTGTCTCACCCGTTCAGGCGGCCTGATCCAGTTGGGGGCCCCTCAGCCTTTGGTTCATAGATCCTGTGCTTCCATTCATTTGGTTCTTTGTCCCTGTGCTTTATCCAACCTTGGCTTCAACAATTCTCGCTCGTATAAACCCTCTTCTTTCTCACTAATTAGACTCCCAGTGCTCCACCAGGGGCCCAGCCGTGGATGTCTGCATCCAGATTCCTCAGACCTTCCTTGGATGGGGTTTATGGCACAACTAACAGGGTGTCTGGCCATCCCATCACCAGAGTAGGTCAGTTCCTGCCGTCTCTCGACCATTGCCAGCAGTCTTTTGTGGGGGTATCTTTGTGGATCTCCGTGGGCCTCCCTAGCTCTCTGCTTCCTCCCCTTCTCATGTGGTCTTCATTTACCATGGTCTCCTATTCCTTGTTCTCCCTCTCTTTTCTTGATCCAGCTAGGATCTCCCACTCTCTTTCCCTCGACCGTCGCCCTTCATTGTTCCCACTCATGACCAGGCTGTTCATGTAGATCTCGTCCATTTCTCCGTGTCTTTTTTGGGGTCCTGTTTTCCAGGTAGCCTCACTGGTGATGTGAGTAGCAGTCCAGTCATCCTTGTTCCACATCTAGCATCTTCCTATGAGTGAGTACATACCATATTTGTCTTTCTGAGTCTGGGTCACCTCACTCAGGGTGATTTTTTTCTAGATCGATCCATTTGTCTGCAAACCTTATGATGTCATTGTTTTTCTCTGCTGAGTAGTATTCCATTGTGTATATGTGCCACAATTTATTTATCCATTCTTCAGTTGAAGGGCATCTAGGTTGTTTCCAGGTTTTGGCTATTACAAACAATGCTGATATGAACATAGCTGAGCAAGTGTTCTTGTGGTATGATTGAGCATTTCTTGGGTATATGCCCAGGACCTTACCACAATTTTTAAGAGTTCTCTTCAGTGACTTTTTGCCTAGGTTATTACTTTTTTTGGGGTGGGGTGGGGTTAGGGGTTGTCACAGAATCCTTCTATGTCCCTCTTTCTTAGCTGTGAGTCTGCAGTCATCAATACCACTACAAAAGAAGTTTCCTTGTCCTTTACATCTCAGCAGGAGCATGGATCATGAACTTCTACACGGTTTTTGGAGACAGCACAAACCACAGACATACTCGTAGTCTCTGGCGTAAGAACATGCCCTGGACCACAGTACAGACAATGGACATCAATATGGCCCTCTGCTACTGTGTGGGCCCTGGACACCATCATCGCCCTTGGTGGCAGCACAGGCCAGGGACCTCAACATGGCCTCAGGTGGCAGTATGGGCCACTCACATCAATATGGTCCCTGGCAGCAGCTCAGTTCATGGACACCAACACGGCTTCAGATAGCAGTCCAGACCAAGGACACCTGTATAATCTTCAATGGTAACTCAGAGCAGGGACATCAACTAGGTTCCTAGCTGCTGGAGGACCATGGACAGCCACAGAAACCTCAGGCTTCAATAGGCCCTGAGGCAGTGGACCACGGATACCAAAGTGGTCTCCAGGGGCAGCACAGATATAGAAGTCTTTTGAGGAGATCCAATTTAAAAAAATAAACTGATTTTCATTTTAGACATCCTGTTGTTGCTCAGAACCAGGGTGATTGTGTGGCCAGGCAGCATGTTTGGGGTCTGAGTCAGAGTGCAAGCTCCAGGCTGCTGCATACCATCCTGTTAGCCCTACTCAGCTAGGACATGTTTCATTGTCTACCACAGGCTTCTCCCACACCCATCACCACCATTGTATCTCTAGTTCTGCCTCTCTCCATCACTCACTCACCGCTTTGTTCCTCTATCTTTCCCACCTCTCTATTGAATCTTTATCCATCACAGTGACATTGGAAACTGCAGTGTGTCACATACACAATATATATATTGTCCAGACAGCATCGCATGCAAATATTTACTTCGATGAGTCAACTTGTCTCTGGTATTCTGCTGTAGCCAGAGTCATGGTGATCCTGCAGCTCTGGTTCTGCAGGACCAGCTTCTTCACATACTCCAGCAGCTCCTAGATGGGAAGAAGATAGTATAGATGTTGGGGTGCACTCACTCAAAGCACTGGATCTGGGCCCTGATGGCTGGGACCCAGCTTCTGCTGCCTTATCCTCTATTTCTTAAGACCCCCTTTTCCCTATCTAATGTCTGAAGTTTCATGACACACTTACCCCTCCCCACACACATAAAAATTCCAATCTATGTTCCTCATACAGGAGAAGACATGCAGTATTTGTCTTTCTGAGTCTGGATTACTTTGCTTAATATAACAACTCCAGGTCCATTCATTTTCTTACATATAGAGTAGTTTCATTTTTACTTATGGCAGAATACAAGTCTATTATGTATATATGTACCACATTAAACATTTTTTTTCATCTGTTGGACATCCAGGCTGGTTCCAGTTCCTAGCTATTGTGAACAGAGCAGCAATAAGCATGGATGTACAAATATATTTGTTGTAGGATTTGGAGTCCTTTAGCTATATAGGGTAGGTGGGTCATATTATAGTTCTAATTTTGGTTTTGAGAAACATCTAGACTTATTTCTGTACATTTACATGCTTACTAGCCATTTTAAGGTTTTCTTCTTCCTAAGAGCCTCACCGGCATTTGTTGTCAGAAGTGGCTTATTTTAAAAGCACAGTAATGAAGACAGTGTGATCTTGGCACAGATATAGGTAAATAAACAAGACCCAGACCACGGACATCCACATGTGCTTTTGTGGTACCACAGGCCAGAGACATCAACATGGCTCTTGGCCATACGGGGGACCACTAACCCACTCATGGTCCTCATCGGCTGCATGGGTCACAGGTCTCAACATGGCCTCAGGTGACTACACATGCCACTCACATCAGGATGACCCCCTGAGGCAGCGAAGCCCAAGGAAATCACCAGATCAAGTGGTGGCCCAGACTGCATGCATCCACATGGATCTCAGGCTTCATCATGGCCTGGGCAGCAGCATGGACCACAGACATCAACATGATCTCCAGTAGCATCTCAGACAATGGTGGTCCTTGGAGGAGGTCCAATCCAGACAGTGAAATTTTCCTTATCTTGGGCCTCCACTGTTGCCCAGAGCCAGGGGGATCTGGTGGCCACACTGCAGGTTCCAGGGCTGAGTCTGCATCTGCATGAACTCCAGGCTGTTGCACACTATCCCACAATCCCTACAGGGCAATGACAGGATGTCAACCTCTGTTCTCTTTCTCACCTGTCACCATCAAGTCTCCAGGTCTGCCTCTCTCCCTGGTGCACCCACCACTCTGGTTTTTCTGTCTTTCCCATCTCTCCATCACATATTTGTTCATTGTAGTGGTGCCCACCCCCTCCTCTTGGTTTCAGGGCTTTTTTTTTTTTTAATTTTAGGTAAAAGACTGAGTCAGCGGTGCTGGCGCATGCCTTTTAATCCCAGCACATGGGAGGCAGAGGCAGGTGGATCTCTGTGATTTTGAGGCCAGCCTGGTCTACAGAACTGAGTTCCAGGACAGTTAAGGCTATGCAGAGGAACCCTGTCTCAAAAAAACAAAACTCAAAACAACAACAACAACAAGATAAAAGATTAAGAAAGAATAAAAGGGTGAGTCATAAAATGGAAAACATTTCTAAAGTGTGTATTGCATTTGCTTATGAGGGCTACTACAGCAAAATACCACAGATGGAGTTACCTAAACAGCACGTTTCCTTACTTACAGCTCTGGAAGTTAGAAGTCCAAGATCAAATTCCAATATGGGTAGCTTCTACTATCCAGGCTTCCTCCTTAGCCTGGCTGCCACCTTGAGATGGAAGCATTTTTTTGTGTAGCCTTTTCTCTGTAAGAATAATTGGTATCACGCAAGAAGCTCTCTTTTGAGTTGTTAACCAGGGCTGTCCAAGAGAGTTCCCAAATATATAGCTTATTTCCATGTTGGAGTTTAAGAACCCTGCATTTAAGGTTGCAGTTCACCATGTCTGGATAGGACTCCCTCTTGACCTTATTTGGATAGTGTCTCTAGAGCAGGATGCCTGACCTTTTTTGGAAGCTGTCCTTGAGCTTAGATGCCTGACTTATCTTAAGTGTGACCTTTGACACAGTTTCCTGCAAATGCTCCTCCCTCTGCTGTCTATAATTAAGTATTGTGCTCCAGCTGTATGGTAGAACCATGCCACCAAATGCAAATTAAATGATGCCCCAGCCACTGTCCCTATCCTGTGTATACTCTGAAATGAAGCTGAGCTGTAACACAGAGGCTGACTCCCAGAAGGCTTTTTCTGTCATACTCACAGGCCATACAAAGCCCTGCATGCCACCTCTGTCCTCATAGCCTGGTAGCCAGCAGACCACGAAGAAAAAAGAGACCCCTCATTGCTGTTACACTTGGTTTTTGCCCAGAAGGGGAAGGTAAGCCCCTATACCAAAGACATCATGCACTTCAGAAACAGAGCCCAGAGAACGGAGAGTTGAAGCTGACCTGGGATGCCCCCTCCCTGAGGATTAGCTTTCATGGTACCAGGTTTCATGCAAGCTTCCAAAGGAGGAAGCCAACTAATGGTCCTGCCCAGCTATGATGCATATGAACCAGACTAAAGCCCTGCATGGCACTCTAAGTCCTAAGGGTGGAGTAGTAGTAAATATATCTTAGCAGTAACCAACAGCACTCCAATTGGACTTGAGACCCAGTCAACAAGTGGGAAACCATGCCTGTTACTGGAAACTTGCTAAGTACTCAATGCTAGCACAGTCATGGTTATTGGAAAAGAATCTATAACCTCTAATTTACTAAACCAATGTGATCCTTAACAAGAAACTGTAAACATTTGTCCTTATATGTACAGATAAGTGTGTTATTTACCCCTCGTCAAAGACACTTCTCTTTGCAACAGATGCAGACCACTACAGAAAATTACAACCAGCTAAAATGCAGAGTTATGGAGCCCAGTATCAATGGATATGCCTATGGAATACTCCCTCACCTAAGGCTCAGGGATCATTATTGAAGAAGGGGGTAGAAAGATTATAAGATCCAGAGGCTCAGAGAGTTTGCTGTGAGATTGTATCTCCCAGTAATGTCAGAATATACATCCATAAAGTCTCACTACACACCTTCCTTAAAGCCTCCTTCTCCTTTCTCATAGACTCCTTTTTAGTCTTCTGGCTTCCATATGCACTCCTACATAAATGCACTTATATAAAACAATTAGAATAGAATTCAAATATGTCAGGAACATGGATTATTTGTCTTTCTGAGTCTGGGTTACAACACTTAATGTATTATTTTAAAGTTCTATCAGTTTCCCTGAATTTTATTATTTCATTTTTCTTTATGACAATAAAATTCCATTGTACATGTACTACACCTTCATTTTCTGTTTATCAGTTAATGGACAACTAGGCTGGTTCATTTTCTTGCTATTATAAACAGAGGGGGTGGTGAACATGGATGAGCGAGTATCTCTTTTGTAAGATAAGGAATCCTTTGACAGATGCCCTGGAATGATATAACTGAGTCATATGATAGTTGTTTTTTATTTTTTTAATGAACATCTACATTATTTCTGCAGTGTTTACACCAGCCTATTGTCTCTTTAGCAGTGAATAAGGGACTCTCTTTGCTCACATCCTTACCAACATTTGTTGTGTTTGTAGCCATTTTGACTGGGATGAGACAAAATCTCAAGCAACTTCTAGTGCATATTTTCCTGATGGCATAGATGCTCATTTAATGGCCACTTGTATCGCTCCTTTTGAAAACTGTTCAGTTGATTAGACTTTTAGACTCGAGTGTTCATTTCTTATTGTTTAGTTTTCTTATTTCTTTTATGTCCTAGATTTTAAGGCTCTGTCGGATGCATAGCCAGCAAAGAGTTTCCCCTGTTCTGTTGGCTGTCTTTTTACTTGATTAGCTTTCCTATACATAAGTCTTTTAATTTCACGAGGCCACATTTATCCACTATTGGCTTCATTTCCTGATTGGAATCCAGTTCAGAAGCTCTTTGCTCATGCTGTATTTTGAAATAATATTAATTATTATTTAAAGATCATTTCTTAATAAGACCATATTCCAACAGGCTGGAGATTAAAGCTTCAACATCTGAATGTGTAGGAGACATGATTTAGTCATATACTTAGATACACCTAACAAAGGATTTGTGTATAGTACATATTAGACATTCTTTAGAACTTTTAGGAAAAAGAAAACTCAATAGAAGAACACGGGAAAGACTTCAATATAGTCATTTTTCTCTTTACAAAAGAGAAAATTTGAAGACCATTAAGGAGCAGTTGGCATTACTATTTATCAATGTAATAAAAATTTAAATTACAAGAGGAAATCCTGTACACCCCTTGTAATGGTTATAGATGGCAATGCCAAGACCTGACACATACGCTGATGGATGGGAAACTTCATGCACTGCTGGCAGGACAGTGGATAAATGGCATCATTTTGATACAGCAGCAGGTTGAATCCCAGAAATATAAATTTCACTGAAGGAAGGAAATTGTTCTACACAAGTACATTTGTTTCAAATTTGAAAACTAGAGGATGATGATAGAAATAAAGTAATGAAGTAAGTTTGGAAAGATGGAAATGCACTTTTCTCAAATCCCTAGGGCAGGCGGAGTTTGGGGTGATGGCAATATTCTATTACTTGAGCTTGCTGATGCTTTACATTAGAAAAATCACTGCATGAAAAAATCCATTTTCAGTAAAAGAAAAATAGGGGAAAAAGTTTCTGGAAGTGGAAAAAATCACTGTACTGTCCACATGATAATCTGCATGTACATTTTATTCAAATCTTTTATTAAAATTTTTTTACCAGGTGTGGGAGCATATGCATGGAATTCAATCACTTGAGAGAGGCAAAAGATTATGACTCTTTTGAAGCCAGACTTGGAGTGACATGACAAGACCCCATCTTTAAAGGCCAAATAAATGGATAGACTTAAATAAGCAACTAGATAAAAATGGATTTCCAGAAAACAATGAAATATTAAGACTTTTACTTTGACACAGGCTGGGAAAACATTGAACAGAGCATCATTGATTGTGCCTGTCAAGTCACACTTCCTAAGAGTCCTTTGTCTTACCCATATTCAGATTGTCCTAACATTGGCTCTGTTATTCTCTGAGCTTCACTTTTACTTCTCTTGCAGTTTTTGCTTAGGAAAGCCCCTAAATGACTTATTGTCGGGATGCTAAATACTATTATATAATATATTAAAACTATGAAATGTGCTTGTTGGCAAAGAAGAACAACAAAATGATGTAAAACAATACATTTAACAAAGGGATTTAGTAAGCTTGTTTTGTGGGCAGCTGGCAAAAGTTTTGAGCCTGGATCTCCCCTTACATATGAACTTCTTGTTAGAAATGTGCACATCCTTTAACGTTACTCAGATCTGCGTTTATACTTAGAAAAATTCTGGTTATGGCTTCACACACTTACTTCCATCTTTTCTTTTCTCTTTTTTGTCAGGATACCTGTTGGCTTGTGGCTGTGGGTTCTTGAAATAACTGTTTCACCCACTCATTTGCCTCCTTCTTTCCAGCTTCCCTGTTCATGTTATCTATCATAAGATACAAGAGGCAGATTTTATTGTTAATCCAATAAAGCTGACATTTGTGGGCTCTTCACTGGCAAGGGTGTCTTCTGAGATCCTGATGGAAAGCCTAGCAATGCTTTTTATATAATTATATGCTCTCAGAAAATTGGCAAAGCAAGGCATTTCTATCATGATCAATAAAGCTGCTATTTCTTCCCATCCCACTTTCCACCTCTTTCTTATTTCTGCTCTTTGAGATGGGTTGGGAGTTATTGTGAAGATTTTTGGGAGCTGGATAAAAAGAATATAAGCTAAGGCAATGCACCATCAGTCAGTTTGGGGTTAGTAGGATATACTAACATGGTTTTCAGTCATTGGTATACTGAATTATAGTTAGCTATTTTGGTATAGAAACAGCTCCTAGCAAAGCTTATCCAGATTTGTGATAACATCTTCTGCCTGCTGTTAGATGGCTCAAAACAAAACATTATGGAACCAATAATAAAATGAATTATCAGCAACTTATGAAAAAATCAAACTGTCCTTTTAACTCATCTTTTAAGAGAAAATAACATTACACAACTGTCATAATATGGACCAAACAATTTCAACTAAAACCTTAGAAAATCTGTAGTTTTATACAATAAAACATATTGTTTTTTCTAGATTTTATTTTTTATAATGGTATTTTAAAATTCTGTTATTTTCTCTCTCTCATATTTTATTATTATTCACATTCTATTTTGAGACCGAGTCTTACTCTGCAGTCCTGTATAGCTTGGAACTCACTATATAGCATAAAAAAGCTGTATTCAATGAACCCAAAGCATATGATTAAATATAATAAACAAATTAAACATAATAAATATAAAAAAGAATAAAAGAGTATAACTTCTTTTCCTAAAATGTTGAAATTGTTGCCTAGGTTTTGAAATTTGATCCTGGGATTCTGGAATCTGATGCAGAGCTGCATCATTTTCATGCTGAAGATGTCAAGAGAAGTCTGTCTCCAGTGAGCATCAAGGATTTACAGGCAGCCAAATTGTCTGTTAGGTTGTTCAGATTTGGGTATAGTTGAAATGAGGCTATTTCCCCCACCCAGACTTTAAAGTTTACTGTTTCTATGTAAGCAAGAACAACTCAAGAGCTTTTGGCTTCTGTGCCCCTGGGCCCTATTGTTTCTGTTTATTGTATTTACAAGAACATGACAAACAGAAAGGAAGAAGTTGATAAAGTTATGCCAAGAATCTAATTTGGGATGCTCAAAACCGAATTTTTGTCATCCTTATTTAAAAAAAAAAAGTCCTTTACCCACACACAAAATGTATGCATTGTGTTCAATATAATATCCAGTATAATGCATAAGCATCATAAGTATTTATCTTCCAAAGAAATCCCAGCTGACAACTGCTGAAAATCTGGGTTAGTGTCTATTT